CACTTTACAGTTTCTATTCCATAGTGATGCAGGGTTCTGTATATTCTGTCCAAAGACTTTGGCTGCCAGCGCAGGGCTTGGGATTCAGGGTTTCAGATATTTACACAGGGGCCAGATGAGGGTCCATCCGGAAACTCATGAAGATAGCCTCCGAACCCCACAGCCTTGAAACCCCACATCCCGAAAGCCCTAAATATCCCTAAAACTCTAAACGCGGAACCGTGACAGCCCAAAGCCCAAGGACCCTAGCACCGGTACACGCGCATCTTGGATATCAACGGGGAAACCTACAACTCCCAAAAGGAGCCCTGAAGCAGTAACCCAGAGACTCCAAACCCCTTAATTGAGGAATGAATACATATATATATATGTGAATTTATAAGAGGATCCCGAATATGATTTACGCTATAGGAGGATCCCTAATTTATGGTTTAAGCTATATTCGTTTATTGCTTAAAGAACATACCTTGAATTATGAGGGCGTCCCTGACATAAGGAATGTTTCTTGTTTACGGGATTTTGGGGTCTCTGGGAAGCAGCCCCGAGCCGACCCTCATGGTGTTCGCAAAGCATCTGGCGCAGCGAGCCGCCACCAAGGTCGGGATGTGATGTAGGGTTTAGGGCTTTAGGGCTTAGAGGGTTTAGGGTTTAGGGTTTGAAGGTTCGGGGATCGACACTGCTGTTTTTGACTGAGTGTGGAGGGCTTTTGTTCTTTCTTTCTCTCCCACCCTGAGCTGTCTAAGGCGGCCAAGCCACCAAGCCTATTCCTTTTAGGGCTTAGGTCTAAACTGAGATGCTAGGCTTAGGGCACGGCACGGCAGGGCAGGGCAGGGCAGGTATGAAGGGGCTTGGGGAAGGAGGGGGAAGGGAGAGGGAGAGGGAGGGGGCAAGCGGGAGTAGTAGTAGTAGTAGTAGTAGTAGTAGCAGTAGTAGCAGTAGTAGTAGTAGTAGTAGTAGTAGAAGCAGTAGCAGTAGTAGGAGTAGTAGGAGTAGTAGGAGTAGGAGTACTAGTACTGTAGTAGTACTCGTACTAGTACTCGTTCTAGTACTAGTTCTAGTACTAGTACTAGTACTAGTAGTAGCAGAAGTAATAGCAGACCCCAAAACCCCAGACCCGAAACCCTGAACAGAATGGACGTTATTGGGTTCCGCAAGACGCCTGCCAGGTGATCAGCACCCAGAAGGCCAGAGTGTCTGGTTCCTCCAGTAGTACCCTTTTGCTCGTTTTTTTGCGGGTCTTCCTTATTTAACACAGACCGGTAGCCTGCATTGTTTGGTTTAGCCAAATCAGGGGTAGGATTCTCGACAATGAACCCAAAAAGGAACTACAATGGAGACTGGAGGGAGTAGCGGGAAGCAACGTGCCCTTCTCTTGGGGGTGAACCTAGGTGTGGGTGGTTTTCGCTTCCACGGTGCTGGACGTGATGTCCTTCTTGACAGTTCCTCTACTGTCGCTGCACCTTGCCTGAACCCTAAACCCTAAACCCTCAACATACTTCGCCCTACAGAACCGCCCACCCAGGGGTGGAGTTGTGACGTGTTTTGCTTCGCTGCCAGCAAATCAAGAGAACTACAACCCATTCAGACATGATAAGCCACGTCGCTGGAACCCCCCTGTAGAAGACCCCAAAAGCCCAAGACAAGTCGAAAAGCACATCGAATCTAAGCCTGAAGAACCTAAGAGCACATTGTCCGGAACTTTTTGTGGCTTGCCAGCCTCAGAAGAGTTCTGGAAATGGAGCTTGTAGGATAATTTTCAAGCTTCGGTTTAGTAAGGTCTGTTTTTCACCATTGTTTCTTTGAAAGGACACAGTCTGGGAAGTTTCCTTTGAGCCAAGTGTTGGATGAACAACTGTTTTGTCTGTTCTTCTGTCGTTGAATTCGTTGTATTGCGATGAAGTGGGAAAACGACGCACTCTCAGAGCGACCCCGACTCCGCAACGTTAAATGCCTTGCGTCTTCTTGATGTGTCTTCGGACCCTCCAAATCTGGTTGCTCGGGGGATTGATGGAGCCGATCTAATCCGCTCCCCACACCTCACAACAAGCTGGACTTCCGAAGCTGTACTTTGGAATCTAAAACTGCAAACTAGCTTGGTTTAGGGTTTAGGTTCAGGGTTTAGGGAGGAACTGCAAGACCGGGCCCGACAGCCTCAGGTACACCAGCGTCTATATCTTTGTTCTTATGATGTTCCTTCTCTTCGCCTCTGCATCCTGGCGAGCTGGGAGCCTCCTCACCCCACTCATGCGACCGGCATGTATGCTGCTTCCGGAAGCTGGGTCGCAGCGCGTTTAGGGTTCCCTGAACCCTAAACCCCTAAACCCTAAACCCCTAAACCCCTAAACCCTTTATGGTATCAGTAGAAGTACAGAGAGTGCCTGCAGAAAAAAGGTGTAGAGAAGAGGAGTTTAGGGGGGCCACGCCGGACCCTCACCCCAGCAGTCGTGGCCACAAGCCTTGACAAACCCTAGATGGAAGCGTTTCTGCGTGTTTATGATCTCTACTAGTATGCTGCTAGAACCCGGAAAGCGAGCGAATTGTGGCTGAGTTGATATTGAGAGAAGGGCTGAAGGGATGGGAGAAGCATGCCAAAAAGCTTCAAAATGCAGATCCTTTCTTAATCGGGCGGGCCCTGTAGGAAGCACAATAGCAAGACGAGCTGCCTTGACGGAGGGGGTGCAATCAAATCCTATAGGTTCACATTCCTGGATTCAAGGACTCTCTATTCCAGCAGACCACTGGGAGTGCCAAGCACCAGCCCAAAAACTAAAATGCTAGATCCTAAACCCCACCAATCCTAAATTGAACACCTGAGAACAAATCACTTGCAGTTCAGGCACTGGACGGATTCAGCCATTTGCGATTCGCCCACCAACAATCCAAGAACCGACCACCACGCACCATGCACCCCCAGAGTCTCCACCTCTCCAGGACCCCACAACTTAGGGCGGCTGGCAGGGGAAGAACCTGTTAGAGCATCCAGGACTAAATCATGAAACCCTAAACCCTAAACCCCTAAACTCTAAGCCTCAATCCCCAGCTGATGACATGCAGCAGCCTGTATAGAAAACCTGTCTGTAGCTGTAGTTGCAACACTCCTTTTCCTTTTGCTCATTTAGGCCAGAACAGTTAAGTGCTTTGAGCATGCTTTTAAAGTTAATTCCACAGTCAGTGTTCAGTAGGTGCCTACCCCTGTACATATAACATAGGCGTCAAGACTTCAGACTTTAGACCTTGGCTAAAGTTGGACGACGATGATGAGGATGTCGACATCCCCGCACAATGCCAACTAGATGATAGCACAGGGGATTCAAGCGCTTAATCTATGACACTATGACTTGGACTGGACGAGCTTGCCGCACTTGCCACTCGAAAGAGACGGGCCTGCAGCAGTTCCGGGTTTGTGGTTGCCTTAGGGGACCCTTGCAAAAGGCTTGGTTGCTCCCAAAACCGTAAACCCTAAACCCCTGCACCGCCGGACCATGATTAGGAGAAGCAGTCTGGCTTTGGCTTGCACAAAGAGCAGCAGTCAGCTGCAGGCTTTTGCCTGTGGGGTGCGACCATCCGGGCCATTTGCTCAGCTAGCTTCCTGCTTCTTTACGTGCTGCCCCCCGTCGATCTTGCTCTTTCTCGCCCGGTGGTGATAGATTTTGCTCAGTATTGCCCGGAAGCATACAAGTGCTATCTCGCAGAGGACAAGGAATTCGACATACTGCAAGAAAAGCTGGCGGCCTTGACCAATGCCAGCGGCGGGCGCATTCAATGGCCGAATGATTGCTTCAATCAGACTGTGATGTGGGATCCGCAAAATGGGTATGAGGCCTGGGGGAATTGCACAAGGCACTGGCAACAACATCAGACTTTCCCTGATGAGTGCATGGGCGCACTGGCTTCCGATCCCAAGTGGCTAGTGCTTGCTTTGCCTATCGAGAGCAGCAAGATGCCAATGCCGGCAGTTGGGCCAGCAAATGTCGTCGGGAGGACGATGTGAGTTTCTGCCGCGACTGCTACGACAAATTGCATAACACGCGGCTTGAGGATGGATGCCTCCACTTCAACTTGTGTACCCCACATTGGCAGACTGACAACTGCTCAGCGGCCGCTTTCCCAGTGTCGCCGGTCAAGAAAACTTGTGGAGACATCGATGCCTTGCCCAAGTACGTGCGATGTGCAGATGCAAGTTCTTGGTCATTTTATCGAGCTTGCCAGCCCGAGATTTCGTTTCTGCTGTCAAATTATTGTTCCAGCCACACTCTGATTCAAGGTTTCCTCGAAACGGCCGAAGTTGAGAATCAGTTTAGCGAGGTTTTGCGAGATCACGAAATCCAGGATGAAAGTGAAAGTCTGTGGGTCATAGAAAGACACATCCGCGGTCATGCTGGCAAATATTTTCCGGCATCTTGGTCCCCCAGCACTTTGTCCTTTTTTATTCTGGGGTTCCTTAATTCATAAAGTGAGAAGGACCGTAGGAAAAATTGGGTTCTTATGATAACGGGTCTGCTGATTGACCAAGGCATTCCTCCAAGCGCTCGGAGCAATCGTGCTCTTAGCCCCCATCCTCGGCTTCCTGCTTGGAGCTTTGCGGAGCCTCTTCGCAAGAAAGTGCATCTGGAGCTTGGAGAGTGATCCTTAGTACTTGAGCGGGTAACGTTTAACCTGTTTGTGCTCATATGTATGATCCTGCCATAATTCAAAAGGTTAACCTCTTTGGCGCTTATATGATCCTGCAATAATTTCAACAGGTTAACCTTGTTTGGGCCTAAACCCTAAACCCTAAACTCGACACCTTAGGATCTGGAGCTTCGGCTGGCAGTTGAAGCTGAAGCAGCTCCCTGGCGGATGTAGGTCTTGTAGTGCAATAGGAACTACGATGGAGGCTATCGGTAGCGTCTGGGGCCAGGGTCTTCATGGTTTGGGTTTGGTCCTGAGTTTTTGTGTAGATTTTGTTTCGGGTTTCGGCACGACAAGCAGTGCCCATGGGCACCAGGCTGCGATGCGCAATGACTTTCTCGAAAGGAACGGGGCTGCTCTTAGGATGGTTCGACTACATCATGCTGCGCTTCGATCTTGGTATGTTCTTGCTGGACCCCTTCCTCGATATTTACACCGCGTACCTCTTCTGGTCCTCAGACCATCCGTGGTTTGCACTTGTTCAGCTGCTGATCGTCGCACGTGGCAGCTATGATCTGTTGCGGCTGCACTGCTCAGAGGGATGCTGGACGGCCGGGAAGGTATCACTACAAGCCAACACCTTGACAGACGGTTTCTTTGAACTCTTGCAGAAGGAGAAGACGACAGAAGGGATCGCATCTTTGACTCTTTTGGTCTATGCAGTGCTTGGGTGTTGCACTGGACCCTTTCTGCATCGATGCTCCCCTTGCTAGACCTTCTCAAACTCCCCATTCCACCATTAGCCTGAAGCCTCAATAAAACTCAGTATATACTGCGTGCTGGAAGCTGTAGGTTACCCTAGGGAAACTCTGAACCCTAAACGTCAGGGTTCAGGTAAGCGTGTTTTCGCAGCAAGGTGCTTTATGTCCAGTCCGATGCATTTGCTTTCTATTTTGCTTCGTGCAAGTGGGCGCTGGCTTTACGCTCGGTGTCTAGGTCCCCAGTGGCACGCTTTGTCCTTTTTGTTTTGGGGTTCCTTATTACAGAAGGTCTACTGGAAAACCTAGGTGTCCATTGGCTGCTACCTGGATTTTCATGTGACACCAGGCGAGGCGAATGTCGGGCTGCAAGGTGTTGAGAGTTCGAGTTTGGTTTCCCTAAACCCTAAAACCCTAAACCCTAAACCCTTGGATTTGGGTTGAAGGTTACTGTTGACCCATTCTTCGTCCCGGATTCGGGGTCTAGGATGCAGCAGCCATATTTTGAGGAGCGTTGTTCGCTTTGCTGCGATGATTCTCATGATTCTTAGTTCCTACTGTATAACTTTTGACATTGAAGCATTTAGTTTTAGATTTGATATATTGCTCTCTGTTAGTTTTGTTGGTGGAAGTAGTAGTAGTAGTAGT